ACTCTAGCTAGTTAGTTAACTTTTGTTGACCAACCCATACCCAAAAATAATGAAATACATACCGTATTTTTTGAATCTATTAGCTAATTTATGTTAACTGATAACCACTCCTGACAAGGTATGGTTTTGCTTTTTTTTCTATTTTTAGTGAACTAAGATACCTAGATCCGATATAATCGTTATTGATAGGTTAAGATGTTTATACACAGTAACAAAATGTACAATATAAAACACATAGAACATGCCAATGTACTAATCAAGGGATGTATGAATGTTAAGTCACGATAAAGATGAAGAAAATAACGTTCTTTGACGAACATTTACAGAGTCCTCATCAAGGTCTTTCTACACTGTAATCTAATGCATTTTCTTCTTAGATCATAACTTTCATTCACAGGAACTTTATTCAAAAGACGTTGTTAACCTTTTACGCTGCTCACAGACCTCCTTGTAGGAGGTCATTTTAAGAATTTAAAAAATTGCTCAAAGGCACTAGATAGGTTGAAAATGACAGACTGGATATAAAATACGTGATGGAGTTTCCAGACTGAATGATAAAAAGTATCACTTTTTTAACATCATAAATCAGTCAAATCATTTCTTCTCGTCTACCATTCAGGTATATCATGCGTCAGCGGGGACAGGTAGAGGCTGGCAGAGGGCGCCACGTTCAACCTGAACCCCAGTCCCCCATGCATCTGGCTGTGGTGGCCTGTGGTGAAAGGCTAGAGGAGACTGTGACCATGATCAAGTCTGCTGTGCTTTTCAGTGTCAAAGAGCTATATCTTCACATTTTTGCTGAAGACCAACTCCATGCGAGTTTTATGGAGGCCGTGAGTAGAAGATATCCTTGTTCTTGATGTTAGTTTTCCACGCGATTCTATCCTCGGAAGGAAAGTAAGGCTGATGGTTCTGTTTCAGTTGGAGTCCTGGCCAGACTTCATTCGCTCCAGGTTCAAGTACACTGTCTACTCCATCAGCTTCCCCAGTGACAACGCAGTGGAGTGGAAGAAACTCTTCAAACCCTGTGCATCTCAAAGGCTCTTTTTACCTGTGAGTTTCAGATAAACTAAAACGAATACTCATCGGATATCCTTGTATGTTATTTATAAAGCGCTAACTAAATTAAATATCCCTGCAGCTGATCCTGAAGGATGTGGACTCGCTGGTGTACGTGGACTCTGACATCCTGTTCCTACAGCCTGTAGACAGCCTGTGGACATTCTTGTCCGAGTTCAATTCCTCTCAGCTGGCTGCCATGGCACCAGAGCACGAGGAGCCCCGCATCGCCTGGTACAACCGATTCGCTCGCCACCCGTTCTATGGTAGGACGGGTGTGAACTCTGGGGTCATGCTTATGAACATGACCAGAATGAGGAGCATGTTTTTTAAGGTGAGACAAAAAAAATTAAAGAGAAATATCTAATCAGAGATTAATTTGTTTGGTTTATTTTTGTTGCTGCACCACCACTAGTAGCCACAAGATGGCAACATTTTCAAAGATTTTAGTCAAATCTGTTTCACAGTGAATTTCCTGACACTGTACAATCAATGCTGCTAGAAAATTGTTATGAATTTCCTGACACTGTACAATCAATGATGCAAAATTGTTTTGCGACTGAAGGCCTGTGATTTTACAGAATGACATGACATCTGTGGGGCTGCGCTGGGAGGAGCTGCTAATGCCTCTTCTCCAGAAATACAAACTCAACATCACCTGGGGCGACCAAGATCTTCTCAATATCATCTTCCACCACAACCCAGGTGTGGATTTCACACACAGACACACACATGAACTTGAAAATGTGTGAGTTTGAGCTGTCATCGATTGATTACCCCTGGAGTCATTTGTTCGTTTGTTCTCTCCGTTTACAGAGACATTGCTGGAGTTTCCGTGCAAGTGGAACTATCGTCCAGATCACTGCATCTACGGCAGCAACTGCGCTTCGGCGGAGGAAGACGGCATTTACATACTGCATGGAAACAGAGGAGTTTACCACGACCACAAGCAGCCGGCATTTAGAGCCGTTTATGAGGCCATACGAACGGTAGGTCGTAGGCAGCTGTGGCTCTGAGCCCTAGACTAATTGTTTCACAGTTAAACAGGGATTTTGGTGACATCATTAGATACATTTATTTCATCAAGTTGTGTTATATTAACATTGAATGTGTGTCCAGATATGGATTAAATAGCTTGATTGTGAATGGGATGACGGGGCTGAACCACAATATCAATCTGTTTACTCAAATGTTATGTTCGCGAAATGTGCGTGTCACGTCACGTGTTAGCATCAGACATGGCATGCTAGCAGACAGGGAACACAGGCGACATGTCTCGTGTTATGGTTCTTCAAGTTCACCGTTATCGTTGCAACTTTCTCGCAGTAGCAGTTATGCAAGATGGCTCCGGATTGGTCGAGTCAGTCGGTCGAGGGATACACAACCAATATTTCACGAAATACCTTTTGCAGTTTGGATCCATTAAAATGAACGATGTCAACACAAAACACCCCAAAAACAATAGAAAAAAAAAATAGAATAGAAGTTTGAATGTTTCCCATGAGAAGATAAACATGTCCGCCGAAGTTTTTCTAAGTGTCAACTTCGTACTTCACACTTCACAAAAAAGTACTTTTTATGCATTTGGCAGTTCGATAATTAACACTGTTATTACCATTAAGTCTAAATGAAGATGTTCTACGAAGTAACGAGCGGTGCTACTTAATGGCCACAGATGTCAATTATCTGCAGTATTAAGCGGAGTTTAAAAGTCAGATTTTAGTGCCTTTCTGTATTTATGACTTCAGAAGGCTGTGACCCTGACTTTTATGTTTTAACAACCCACAGCAGTTATACAGTCTGATATTGATGACCGGCGTGAAGGAAGTGCAAAGGAACTTTAATGTTACTATCCATCACGAGTGGAGGACGCGACTTTTCGGAACATCATTTTACTTTTCCTTCAAGTCTGAATCTTTCCAATACTTTATTTTCTGCTACTGACATTTAATTAAAATGCAGTGAATGAGAAAAACCACATTCATTTCGTCGGCGACTCTCAGGTGCACGAAGGTTAAATAGCACATGTTGTGCCTTTTGAAACTGTTGGACGTGTAATTCTGTGCAACACCTGATGAGGTTCGACCCCCTGTGACCTAAGCGGCGCAGTTGCCCTCCTTCCATCGCCCCCGTTTGCACACCCCTTGAGATGAGGTTTGAGATTGGCACTGACCCCGAAGAACTTGAGTGCCGCTGACATCATATTGTCTCCAACTGCAAAAGGCACAAATCTCAATCCGCCTGCAGGCGACCGGAGTGGGCGCTAATTTCCCCCGTGAGGATGTTTATGTGTTGTTTACCAGCAGTGTAATGATATTGATGGCAGGAGTGGCATTTGCTTAATGAAGCCATCAACGCTCACTGTCTGGCTGCTATCCTATTAACCAACCATAAGACATAGATCACAGCGATGGCCGATCTATACCACGGTTACTGCCTCGCAATTAAGACTGGCTTTTATTTGGCGTGATCAATTTTGGGCCCTCAACACGTGTGTACCTGTACCGAGCAGGTTAGCAAAATGAAAGCGAGCATTAAAATCCAATAGCAGAGCCCAGCGTGGATATTAACAAAGGTTTGTTGCTGGAAATAGACCATTTATAAGAAATGGAAGTGGCCTTTAGGTTTGAAAAGTGGGGGTTAGGTAGCAGTAGGGCTGCAGCACCAAGCCACAAGGGGGCAACTCCACTGATTGTAAGAAGAAAAAAAGAAAAAAAACAAGTGCACTTTAGTGTGAGTCGATATGAAATTGAGGCTACTTCTGTTTTCTTTATAACATCATTAACTCGGTTCTCGAGTGGTTCGAGACTTAAATGCTGGTAAAGGGCGTCGTCTTTCAACCTCAAACGTTAAACTACAGCCGGGCTAACAGCACAAAGAGAGACCGCTTCAAAACCGACAGACTAATTGGTTGAAACAAAAACATTAAGGATGTATGAATATAGCCGGTGTTCTTTTAGCGCTGTGCTAATTAGCTTTTGGGATGTACATTATAGTAAAGCTCGGGGCCAATCCTCTCACAGGTTGGTGTGGAGGCTGTCCAATCAGATCAGGCTAATTTTTGAGTACAATTTCTAGATTTGAACACTGTATAAACCATTTACTAACTTTCTGAAATTGGTACATAAGGAGTCGTCAAACAAATTTTGTATAAATATTCCCTTCAAAACCTGAGAACAGTGGTTTCCAAAGTAGTGGAGCGGGGGCCTCCAGGAGGACGCAGAGTCATTGCAGTGGGGTCAAAGTAATTTAATTCCTTTCTTTGCACTAAAGTGGAGAAACAAATCACTAATTTGTTAATACAGTGTTAGTTCTGTCTACCAAAGTTTGGGACTCATCGCCCAAGAACTATCTTTGAAATGAAAACAAAATTGATCATTAAAGTGTACGAACACTTGATTGAAACATACTCTGTCGAAGCAGACAGACAGTTGGTCTAAACATCACAACTAGAGCTTTTTAACATGACGTCGCCGATGTTTCACAGACAAAAGTGGCGACAAACACTATCTCCCGTCTTTGTCTTTGTGTCCGCAAACAAAGACACAGCACTAGAAAAGTGTGCGGCGCTCCTCCCTGTCTGCCCGCCCGTCCATCCCAAACAGACCACAGCAGTCTGTCCATCATAAAGCTTCCCCTCTCTCCTTTTGGAAAAACACAGAGCGGAGGAAGCGGCAGTTAAATTTTACAGCCGGTGGTACATTTAGAGTCCGAGTCTGCACACCAACATCGCCCCATCAGCCGCACAAAATCAATACACCAACTGTAAATGCAACTTTATGAGCCGCAGGGGCGCGTGTGTGTGTGTGTGTGTTTGCGCCCATAAAAAACACTCTCTTTGTGACCCAATATCAGGGACCAAACAAGCAAATGAGCTGGCATAAAAAATGATAATTCCTCTTTGATTTCCTCGGAGCATTGTAAAGGCTCCTTCATTACTGGAAAGACATGAAATTTCTTCTCTAATCCCCAGTCATCACCGGACGCTAAGCCTTTAGCTTTAAAACCCACTCCAGCAACAACGTGGACCACTCTGTTGTTTTCCCTCTGGTTCATCCACAGATTAGAAAAATCAGCACACTGTCAGAATATTTTTAAAGAATTAAGTGTTTGGCCCAAACACTCAGACCCTCTCATTGATTTACATGGGGACAGGTAGTGATCCCTATAGAATAGTAATAGAGTGTACTATACTGTACTATACAATCTTTCAACCTTACAATTTTGGAATCCAGTCACGGACCGAATTGGACAGTTTGGCAGGCCGGATTTGGCCCACGGGCCACCAGTTGATAATCACTGATACACAGTAAAGAAAAAGGAATGTGAAACATTCAAGGGATATTTTCTGCGAAGGTTTCGTCAACAATGTTGCTTTGTAGGACGGAAGTTACGTAGGGTTGAAAGACTAAGGCTAAATTTAAGGACGCATCATTGTCTAATAAAAATGAGACAAAAAAATATGGCTCACTCTCTGTCCTGTCTGTGTCTCGCTCTCAAATAAATCGACTTAATCAAAAACTTGATCAGTTTGATGAAGTGACTCCCGCGTTCAGGTCACAGGGGTCGAGGAGTTTTCCAGGGAGACTGAAATAAATCTTTGCCCCTGCGATAAGATTAATGAAGGAATGAAAGGAGGACAGGGAGATAGCGGAGGCCAGGGTCTGTCGTGGTGACCCCGAAACAAAGATACAGCCTGAAGAAGATTATCTAGGCTGAGGAGACGGACCATTCAAGCAAAGGACAAAAACACTAATTAAAGCCAGAACTAAAATTAACCATGCAGAAAAACCTTGGCCTTACTGTCAGAGGATGACATCCCTGCGAGTACTAATTATCAATTTTTCTGAATATGATTGTTGAAACGAAAGAGTTCCTTGTGAATGTTCTATCGTGAAAACATACTAGATTAAAGCAGAAGGAAACACTGAACATTAGCTTTAACCTGTTTTATTGTTTGTTTGTTTTTTTAGTACTCTTTCGGTGCAGATTCAGTGACGTCACTGTTGGACCCTCTGGAAGAAGAGCTGCTGAACACGACACACACTTACTGCGGTAAATCCTCCGCACTCTTCACCAAGAGACTGATACACAATCTGGTCAACACCAACAGGAATCTTCGAGAGGGATGGTAACAAAAATACAATCTCAGGATTGGACAGGGCCTGACTTCAGTCTCCATGGAGACTTGTACGAGCTAACACTGGAAAAGCTAACACTGGAAGGAACGTTGACGTTCCTCTGTTACTGTGGAAGCAGAGTTTTTTTTTTTTTGATGACGTTAGCAGTAGCTCAACGCACAGTGACTGGAGATGCCAATCATGCCATACTAGTCACCGACTTCCAGGTCCAGGAGCTTGCTCAAAAGTTTCAATCCAAAACGTTTTGTTTTGGTCACTCCAGAAAAATTCACAGAGACGGGAAAACTTAAACCAAGAAAAACTTCCATTGACCAAAGATTGGACTTCTGACTGTGGGCCAATCAACACAACAGTGTTTGACATTTCTGCATGGCTAACTTGCTAACAGCAAACAGCCCTCAATCTCAGTAGAACATTCAGGTGTCAAATTGGGAAAACTGTGGCTAGCATGCTTGCTAACAGAATAAGCATACGCGATGTTTGAACTGTGTAACTGACGGTCCCCGTGTTTCTGAACGAGTGTGAGAATATAGATCTGTAAAGGTTTAGTAAAAGTAACTGTTGACTTTCCATATTGGAGAATTGATGAAACACTGAAACATTCAGTGAAATGTTCTCTTTATTCAAAGAGAAAAAGAAACATTTGAACTGGAGAACGCACTGCACCACTTTTTTTAGCTTGTCTTTACAGTACTGTGGTAAAATGTCAGTTTTTGCAATATATATATTTTTTATTTTACATCTTACATTTTAGGATTGTACAGATTTTCAGGTTTTTTCATTATTAAGTTTGTAAACAGAATGCTACGGATTGTGTGAATAAGCTCTAACTTCCTCTCTAATGCCAAAGTTTTTCTTTTATTACTGTTTTTATGGGTTTTTTTGTTTTGTTTTTTGCACCAGTGAATGTATTCAAACATTTGAAAGTTGTAAATTTTATTTGAAATGCGTTTGATGTGAATGTTTTTCCTTTTGTTGTGTTTGGCTGTTTTTTTACATATGTATATGTAATACACGTTGTTTCACATTTTTGTCTCTTTGTGGAGCAGTGTCTCATCTAACCACTAGAGGGAAGCATTTCTTCATGTCACCTTAAGTCCCACTACTTTGGTTTACAAGAGTCTCAAGCCACCCTTGTTCTTTAAGTTAAACCTGGACCATGTGAGAAAAGCTGAATTATTTTTGACACATTTCATTCAACTCTGCATCACTTTTCTCCCGTAATCAGATTTTCTCATCGTTGTTATTCAAATGATGGATATAACAGGAATCAAGCCTCGGGAAGTGGATCCCAAACAGATTTAATTATATTGAGGTTCAAGTATCTTGAAAAATCAATCAAGAACTAAATAATTATTTTATATTTCAATTTTTAGCTTTCTTTTTAGCCTTAAAACTTGAAAAGTTGAACTTAACAGATTGATCATGAAAAAAATGGAGATAGTGATTAATCACGATTAATCGTGATTAATCCACAGCTACTGTGTGAATATTGAGCTTTAAAATCAAATAATTTGACAGCAGTTTAAGCCTCCAAGATCTTTCGTAATCACACAGCAAACTTAGGTCAATGTAGCGAAATTCTCCAGAGAAACTGTAAAATTGATCCCTGATGACTTTATTTATAAATAACCGGTTTATCTTGCGTCTCCTAAATATGTGACCTTGAAATGTATATGACGCTGTTATTTCAACATTATTGACCTTTAAGGTCCGTATTGAATGATAATGCACGTGGACAAGGCAAATATAAAAATCCCATTAATTTCTCCTGCTCTCTCTCTTCAAAGAACATAAAAGTGTCCGTGTTGGTTTATTCTCCAGACACAAAAACTTTGAGATTGATGCCGTGTTTCTATCATATACTGGACCAGATCGATGAAGTTGCCAATAATCTATGGCGACGCCACCCGAGATGCTGCAGCGCCTCGGCCTCAGCTACGGCTGCTCATAAAGTGTAAGTGATGGACCAATAACGCTGCAGCACAGACGCCCGTCTGTGACACTGTATGGCATTGACTATGGGGAATGAGTTTATGCTTATCCCCATTAGGGTGAGGGATACAACCAAGCATTTATGGCTTTGAGGGCACTCGGATTTATCGCGTCCCAAATATCCTTCATTCATCACCATATATCGCTATGAGAGCTTATCAATTACCTTTATTGACCTGTGTGCTTAAATGCAACATGTAACAGAGCGGGTCCCCGGAGGAAGACGGAGACAAAGGGTTGGATTGAGCACCATGTCGAAAAATTCAATACCGTCCATCCTACGCGGTTCCATCTATCTGGAACTCCGTGTTTTATGTTGCAATAAATAACTCAGATTTTATTCCTTTTGTGCCGCGGCGGCTGAAAAGAGAAGCTATTTAAAATAAATATGTGACCTGCAGCATTTACAGAGGGTCAGCGTGAGAGAGCTGAGTGAAAACAGGGACATGGTGGAACAAATACATGTGCAGCTTTGTTAGGGACACTGTATTTATTGAACAATAATAGAAATAAAATAAGTGAAATTGAACGCACACACACACACACACACACACATATCCAGGTAAGGACGGCCATTTTTCCTCCCATTGTAACTGGACAAAAATGTTCAAGAGGAGATGTGAGTGCAAAGTGGGAGGACGGGGAGACAGAGGGGGAGAGAGAGGGAGAGGGAAGGTTGATGGAGTGTGTACCTGATGAAAGAAAAGAACAAGGCTGTGACAGGCAACATGGCAATTAAGGCACAGTGCTGCCTCGGAGCTCTTATCTCCTGTAATATTTCAGGCCGGGAAGCAGTTGGAAATTCCGGCTTAAAATACTGTAAATAAATGTACAAAATTGAAGTCCATAAGGAAAATTTAACCTGCAAATCTTCCTGGTTAAGGTTTAAATACCGTCCAGATTCCAGAGTCCACTGCCAAGTTGCCTGCAGTTCTTCTACTGGCCAGCAGAGAGCAAGATGTGTTTCTTGCACAATTTCTATCATTTGTTCATATTTGCAGCTCTTTTATATTTAAAACTTTTTCTTCTATAACCATTTAGCTAAACCTATTAGCTAAATGGTTATTACAGCTATTAGTTTTATTTTGGCTTTATTTTATTTATTTAGCTTCACTTGTTTGACTGATTTGCCCAGTGAAGTCAATCCCGCTCCTCTGTTCATTATCCAGAAGCAGTCTTTCTGAACAGACAACAGAAAATTACAGAGAATTACCCGCCTTTAATGCCTTTGTGGCTGCGCAAAGGTAACATAACCTCGTGTGGACTTCGTATGTGTGTCTGGCAGCGATGTATAACACACTAGATCAAGGATTCACAGAGTGTTGAGGTGTACGAGTTGTCACTAGGGGGTGTGTGAGATAAAAAAGATGTTTGCAGTGTAAAACTAGGGGGTGTGTGAGATAAAAAAAATGTTTGCAGTGTAAAAATTTAAAATCAAACATGCGGCCTTTATGAGAAAGCTAGTTGCAATTTTTGTTGTTTTTCTTTTCCGAAGGTTTGGTGAACCAAATGAGCAAATCTCATAAATATGAAAAAATATATATATTTTCTAGCTCACTCACTTAAGTTACGAGTACAACTCCTGCCATATATTTGACTTTCTAATTCACTGGTTTCACAAGCATCGGCTCGTGTCATTTATGCTGACGACACTTTGATGTGCAGACCCACTTTTTTTTTGATTCCGTCATGCCTGTAATATTTCTGACAGCTCCGGCTCTAAACACACATATATAACACACGACAGCCAAATGTTCAAAGACACACCATAATATCCACAGGCAGCAGAGGAAATTCACAAACCTACGTACACCCTTAATATCATGTATATGACTTCAGCGTCTCTACGTTTGAACACGTGTGTCACACAGCACTCCCGGATCGCACAGCAGGGGGTGGGGGGGTCATTTACATGTGGTAATAGGGTCTACATATCAGCGCTGGAGGAGCGCGGGCCACAAACAGTGTCATGTTCTGAGCTCCGTATTTACATGTGAGCGACTCCAGGGTGTGTTTGATGCCCGGCGAGATGGAGTTTGACGTCCTCCCGTGAACGCCAACACCGAAGCTGCTCCAAGATCAAAACGAGACGGCGAACAAAAGACGGCAATTCAGACTAATGATGTGATATATGAGCTTATTATTTTTTCTTTTTTTTCTTTTTTTTTTTGGTTGATTTGATCAAATCCCACACTCCGCAGTCTCACAGCAGCATTTAGGGCAAATGAAGCCCGAGCTTCTCCTCGCTCCTTGCCGTTTCTTTCACACTTTGTAAGCATTTCCCATTTATTTGTATTCCTAAATTCCCAACTCGTCTCACTGTATCTACCTCAATCCCACTTTGAAACTCACGCCGGTGTCTGACCCAGTTTCCTACGCCTTGGTTTCTTTGTTCCTGCAGCCATCAGATGGCAGACACAAACCCCACGGTGAATCCTAAAATACCCAACGTGCTCATCAAACATCCTGCTATTTCAGTTTCTGCTGTTAAAGAAAACGGTATCACAGTGTTTTGTTGTTCTGGTTTTTTTTTTTTTTTCCAGGATCTCCCCAGTCATCTCAGGAACGCCAGTGTGAGCGACTCACAAATGCCGGCCTGGAGCGCATGAGCTTCCCCTTTGTAGTCGACTGCAGGCAGAGATGAGAGAGAAAACAAGGCTGGTGCAGAGAGAGAGAGATACGAACGCGTCCAAGGACAACAAGAAGACGCTGTTTTTAAAGCATGTGAAGCCTTCAAAGTGCCGCATGTTAAAAACCAGGATGTTCAGCAGAGGTTTAATGGTTTCATTTGTATGAAACCTGCGCCATACGACAGACTCTCACAACAACTTTACTGTTGAACTCCTGGCTTCTAAGCTTCACGTCGAGCATTAGCTATCAGCATTAGCTACCGTGAGTCCAATTTTCATTGCTTTAGTCAATGCACATGCCGTCATTTAAACACACTGCTGGGAAGAGTTTTAGTTTCATTGACGCATCTCAAGCTGAAAATACCATCTGGACGCAACTGAACTTCAACTTCAGGTCATGGGTTTTAAATTGTTCTTTAAATAGATTGAATTGAATTGAATTGCACAAAACACTCGACCCAGAATTCACAGCTCATGAGTTGGGACTCAAGACTTCACATAGACATATTTTTCTATCCCAGTCATTGTTACAAATGGATGCCTAATCTTAATTCCTAATCCTTAGACAAAATAAAATCTTAAACCTCAAAATAGTCTCTTTCCACGACGGAAACAGCATCCAACACAACAAAACATTTCCCCCCGCAAAATGTCCCCACAACTATAGCTAAACCGAGACCACACACATACCCCCCCCCCACACACACACACACACCTGCACCTCTTCCACTCTCTTACAGCTGCCACATCACAGCGGCGCAGCCTGTGACCCGGCGGCTCTGACGCCCTAACTCACTCTGACCCTTCCACTATAATGGTCTGTGTCACATCCTTCGCTGCTGAACAATGGATTTCCCATCACTCCTTCCTGCCTTCTTTCCTTCACTGACTCCTTTCCTTCTTCCCTCAATCACAGCTCCACACGAGGCTGGTGTGTTTGGTATCTGGCAAATGTTCTGTTAGCACGGTGCTAAAATCTGCGGTCGCAATCTCACCCTCGTCTTTCCCTGCCGAGGTTTTCCAATTATATAATTCCAATGGCAGTGGGGACAGAGAGAGAGAGAGAGGGAGAGAGAGAGTGTCTGGACACTGGGACTCTCTTCACCGTCTGCCCACAGACTGAAATGACCTGTCAGGCTGCAGGGGAGTTGGAGGCTGTTGTCTGACTGCATCTGCACCGTGTTTGTGTGTCAATCATTTATGACGCCTTTTATTTGAATTTACGTTTACCGTCGTAATATCGACCTGTTTCTCAGTGACAGTGGCGTACTTTTATGTACTGCCAGAGTGTGTGTGTGTGTGTGTGTGAGAGCAGAGCATCCTGAAGGATGAATCTGCTCCTCAGACCATCACTGACAAACACAGGCATATTTTTGGATTTTCTTTAAAGCCATCTTGGTTTCGTAATTTTTGGAGTATTTTTTACATTCCAGTTTCAATTTAAGGATTTTTTATATTTTCCGGACGATTAGTCAGTTGTCGGTCCATTTGTGGGGAGTTAATGATTGGAAGTCAAGAAAGAACACAAACAACAATATTTGTTGAAACACTAAGGCTAGAAATTAAAGGGTTAATAAAAAAAGCAGTTGTGTTGATAACCAGTTCGTGTTGCATTCGGGAAAAAAATTCAAACATTAATAACAGTGATTAAAGTTAGGTCCGATGATTCACTCGCA